TCCCCCTAGTGGTCAATGTCACACACGCCAGGATCCTGTTCCTCTGCAGGGCAGTAGAGCAGCATCACTTCACAGGCACTGCAGCACACAGGCTGTTCCTTCGCCAGGGCCGGCTCCAGGGTTTTGGCCGCCCCAAGCAGCCAAAAAAAGAAAAAAAGCCGCGATCGCGATCTGCGGTGGCAATTCAGTGGAAGGTCCTTCGCTCCAAGCCGGAGTGAGGGACCGTGCGCCGAATTGCCGCCGAATAGCTGGATGTGCCGCCCCTCTCCGGAGAGGCCGCCCCAAGCACCTGCTCGCCAGGCTGGTGCCTGGAGCCAGCCCTGTCCTTTGCAGCTCATTCTTCTGTGTGTGACCAGGCTGATCTCGCCATCGACTTCCTCCCATCTCTGGGGAGATCAGTCATTTTTTCAGACAACTTGAATTGCCTTGATGAGGTTTCCTCCCAGTTTGTGTCAAAGCCAAAAGTCCTGCGGGAACAGAGCATCTTCAAACCATCATATTTAGATTCATAAAAATATTCCCCGAGAGCAGCTTTTGCCTTTTGCATGCTCCAGTCTGTGCACAACGGGGCTCTCAGCAAAACCTCCTTCCGGGGCGTGAGCCACCCCAGAGGGCTCTGTCCCCTCACTGCACATTTCAAATCGGGACACACATGTTGGTAACCCGTGGGGTTGTTAGAGGATTTATCCCAATCCCCAGCAGGTTGGACTATGAAGGAGGAATTGCAGCTGTTGTGGAACCTGCTGGGGGGTGGGTGGCCCCTCTCCCTCGCCCTGCACTCCGGATTCCTGGGCGTGCTCCATCAGGACTGTCATTCCTTTACATCCTGATTCACCGCGCTCCATCACCCACCCACGGGCTGGTTTGTATCCAGACTGTCAGGATCTTGCAGCTTCCTCTTTGCTGCAGGCCCCTGGCGAGATCTCTGGAGCCCTGACTAGGGATGTCACAGGAGGCTGTAACTGGGGCTCTCCTCCCACTGCCCACACTGAGGGGATGGTGACCCAGACACAGTCCCTCTCCTGCAGGAGGAGAGGGAGGGAGGAGACCAGCGGCTGTTCACCCAGAGCAAGGATTCACCAAGGAAGAGCTCTGCTTCCCCCTCCCACAAAGAGAGAGAGACTGAGCAGGTGAAGGGCAGAGGTGTCCGGCAAACCACAGCAGTGACAGTGTGAGGAGGGAAAGAGCAAGGGCTATAGAGAGCTGTGTCTGTAAGAGCCAGATGAAGACATTCAGAGGCCCTACACGCCTGCCTAGCACAGCCCGCTTGTGTCCTGGCCTTGCCCTCAGGCCACGGCCCTTCTGCTCCTTGGCTTGTCAGGGCCACGGGTCATCCACACAAGAGCGAGCGCTGCCAGTGACTCCATTCGGTGCAGCAGGGGCTTCCCCACTCTCTGGAACCATTTCCTCTGTCACCAGGTCTCCGTCCCAGCAGGGAGAGGCATCAGTACTCATCCAGGCAGGCTGAGGACGCCTTGTGGGCTTGCCTGATGGCCCCACTCCAGCAGTGTTATGATGGGACAGCATCAGTAAAGGTCCCTTCAAACCCTGCTGGGTGTTGCTGATGGGAGCCCCCTGAGAAGCAGGTTGCACAGTTGACATGAATAAGGCTGTTCGCATGTCCTGTTGCTCTAATTTCAGGCTCTCTGCACATTCAGGCAGGCACTGGTTACATTCAAATCACATTTCCAAGTTTTTCTTCACAATGGTGAGCATTACAGGTTTTGTTTTAAAGAAAGATGAGATTCTGATCTCATTGTACTCAGGAGCCTGGGACCCTCGGCCTGAGCCTAGAGAGTCTTTGACTTAGAGCGTCACTGAGGCCACCTTCAGGGTGTGAGGAACCGAAATTCACTGCAAAGAGCAGGAAGGAAAAAGGCACAGACGGTTCTGATCTTGGGTGGGGTGGGGAGCTCATTCCACTGTCCTGCTTCCTCGGGGAAGTTTTATCCACTGGGAGGGACTAGCTGGGTTTCTCCCAGGGGAAGGTGAGTTTTTCTGTTCCCGGAAGTGCCGGGTTGGGATACAGATTCCAGCCTTGTCATGGGCCCAGCTCAGACCCTGCACCATCCACTGGAGATTTCACAGCAGGAGATTAGGTGCAGCAATAGCAAGGAGCCGGGCAGCAAGGAGGGACATAATTTATTCTTTTCAGTGTTGAACAAACCTGATGATGAGTTCACGTTGATTCAACTTCCCCCCTCCCTTCTTC